TGTTGCGAGGTCTCCTTTGCCTGCAGCTTGTTCTATCTCACTTGCCATGGTTTCATAGTACTTTCTTTTGTTTTCTCTGGCACTCTTCTTTACTCTTTTGTTCAGTGTCTTGTAGCTTGCATTCAAATCCTGTTTTTGTTGCTCATCGGTGCACTGGAGAATCTTTTGTTTCACCATCCCTCTCTCTTCTACTAGTTTCCAAGTGTCCATAGTGAGCCACGGTTTGTCTAGTCTCTTCTTTCTGTCCAGAATTTCCGTGCAGGTTTGACTCCACACCGCTTTCAAGTTGTCCCAGTGCTTTTCGACACTGACCTCTTCGCTAGTGTTGATTTGTGTCTCGGCTTTTTCCCTTATGCTTGCAGTGAAGATGTCCTTTGTATCCTGGTCCTTCAGTTTTTGAGTGTTGAACTTGGCTTGTGGTCTATCTGCTTCTCTGAAAGCTTTTAGTTTGATTTGGATTGTCCCGTGTACGTGATAGTGGTCTGAGCCAACGTCTGCTTCTCTTCTTACTTTTGTGTCCAGCAGGCTGTGCCTCCACTTCCTTGAGATTGAGATGAAGTCGATTTGGTTTTTGGTTCGCCCATCTGGTGATACCCATGTAGCCTTGTGGATATCCTTGTGTTTGTATACGCTGCCACTAATCACTAGTTCATTGAAGGCACAGAAGTCGGCGAAGAGTTCTCCGTTTTCATTCATTTCTCCCAGAGCTTCTCTACCCATGATGAGTTCCCTTCCTGTGTTGTCTGATCCCAGTTTGGCGTTCATGTCTCCCATTAGTATTTTGATGTCACCAGTTGTCTGCAGTTGTCTGTAGAATTCTTCTTTCGTTTCGAGGTCTGCGTTGTTGGTCGGTGCATAGCATTGTATAATTGACACTTTCCTTCCTTTGGAGTTGAATCTGGCGGTCATTACCCTGGGCGAGATCGCCTCCCATTGCATCAGGGCCTTCGTTGCCGTTGGTGACATCATGATAGCCACGCCCTCGGTGTGCGAGTGGTTATCTTCTGGGTGACCGGATTAGATCACTGATTCACCCGTTGACAATTTGGTGAGTCCACTCCCGTTCCATCTGCTTTCACATATTCCCAGTACTTGAATTCTGTATCTTTTCATTTCGTTTGCGACCTGGGCAGCTTTTCCAATCTCATACATAGTACGGACATTCCATGTCCCCACAAAGACTTTTTCTTTTGTCTCAAGGAGATACATCGTGCTGAAGTTTCTGTAGCAGGTTTGTTTACAGGGTGGGGTTGCTAGCCTCACGCCTGAGAAGGGGGGTTGTTACATCAATTTATAATTTAGAGAGAAGCGACCTTGTGGGTTGCTCCCCTTAAAAACCAGGAAAACAGGGAATAAACATGCAGAAAAACACCCGTACGGGAAAATAATTCACAACAAGAAGGGTAACAAGCGACAACAACAATAATAATATCACAGTCAATTACAGTTAACCAAAATGATACCAAAATCATAGACTCACTAACTTGAGCCAACTTGAACATGTAAATCCATCAATATATATACAATTATAGGTATTAGTTAGTGTTAATCAAGCACAGAGTGGCAAATAGATAATTATAGGTGTTATTGATATACAATATTATATCCAAGGATTCAGTGTTTCAAAGTCAAATAATTGTAAAAGTTTTTCGCAACTTTTTGATAAGATATTCCACAAAAAACAGAGTTTTAGGTAACTATGCAAATGTAGCGCAGCTGTCTATTGTCTTATATACCTGTAAATATGAATCACTAAAGATTTTCTTTCACACATTAATACTGTTCAGTACACAATTGTTTTATATTTATTGCCTTTAAATAACTGTAATATACCTATATTTCACAAACTTTGAATGTACATTTCCTGTGTTTTAACTGAAGTCATGGCCATACTCTGAGTCATCAATGCTGACTGTAAAAACGGTTGTAAGCAATGACACATCCCGCTGACGAATCGGACTTTAGAGAGTAACGTGAAGATGATGTAAAACGAAAAAAAAAAAAACAGGAATCCGAGCAGTCATTGGGTTAGTTGAAGATGAACTGCTGAAGCCCTACATTACACACTCGAAAATCAAAGAATGAATAAATAATAAAATAAGAATAAGCAGCAGAATAAATCTCATATTTTGTTCTCACTTGTAAGCACGTAGAGAACCATTTAAAATCGTCTACGTAGTAGTTTAAGTGTACTTAAAGGAAGTTGATAAGTGCATTAAACAGTTTGTCATATTTCAGTGAAATGGTGACCACATTATTTGTGTTGTGCCTTCATATTTAGTACACCAGAGTAAGATTCGATGGATACAAAAGAGGTTGAAGGAAAAATTATATATATATATCAAAGCCAGAATCGGAAAGGCAAGTTACACCTTCATCAACCTGAAAGCAGTTCGCAAATTTTCTGCACTCCGCATAAACAACAAGATTCGGATTTTCAGCACAATTGTGAAGTCAGTCAGTCCTTCTATACGAGTCAGAAACTAGGAGTGACTTCCGTGGGAAGCATTCCCAACAGGCAGGCCACTGCAGACTTTTATCAACATCTGCATTCCCTGCCTCCATATTGAAGATCAAATATCGACAGGAAAGAATTAGCATCAATAAACTATGGGGACACACTAACCAAGAACCCATCGTTCGACACATATGTAGGAGAAAATGGAGATGGATTAGGCATACTTTGAGGAGACCATCACATAGCATCACGCGCCAGCCAAGGAATCGCTCGAGTGGAATCCCAACGGCAAGCGATGAGTGGATCGCCCGAGGGTGACAATGAAGAGAGCGTGCGAGGAGATGAGAAATTATGGGTAATCATGTACCCGACTGAAGAGGACAGCAGAAAATACGACAAAGTGGAGATGTGTTGTTGAAGCCTTAAGTTCCACTCGGAACCCAAGGGAATAATAATAATATAATAATATAAACTTACAACATTAAGATTCTCAGTGATGTCTCAGCAGTCATAGATAATGAAATAAAATGTAGCAATAAATACTAATTAGAGATAAGCGAAACTGCAAGTAAATCCATACATATAGAATATCCGAGTGAACCTATTAAGAAATACACGTACGCAATTTATTTTCTTCGTAATAAACCTTATTAACGCGAATTTACATAGTGTATGCTCCAAAAGTATCGATGAATTACTAATGAAGGCCTATTGTAAACTTTTGCGTCGTTTTTAAACTCAGTAATTTTGTGACTGAGTTCATTAAATGTCTTCACACAGAGAGGAATGAAAATTTTAAAATAATAACAATTATGTAAGGTAAGACAAATTTTTCAAACTTTCTATATACACATCAAACTGCTGATATTTTTTTTACATGAAGCCAACATTCCTCAAAAATGTTTCTTAATGATCTTGTTGTTCAAAAACTCTTTGGAAAATTTCTTTTCATTTTCTGACAATCCAGTGTGTAACACACTTCATTTTCGGACATCGACAACTGCCTATAGAATATTCAGCAGACGAACATAAATTTTTTTAATATTTATTATATATTTTATTTTCTATAGTTTGGTTTGTAACGGTTAGTTTTGGTTTTACGAGTTGATCACGGACTGATATCAGTTAGAGAACCATTGAAAACCAGGGAGTACTGGACAGCTGTTTCATCCTAGTTTGGGAAACATCGGCAGTACGCAGCCACCAGGACCTTCCGGTTACAAGGCAAGCTCGTATACCATTCAGCCGCTGGGACCCGATTCAATGGCCAGACCATTAATTCTAACTTCTGCCAATTCGTGATTTAGCGCGACCCCAACCATTGTCGTAGGTGGAACACCCATCCAAACACGTAACATCTGGATGGCCCACACTAGTCACGACTTCTCACTAGAACTCCAGGAAACTCCAACCTGTAGCATGTCACTAGCGAGCATCAGATTAATTTTCTATAGTTTGGTTTGTAAGGGTTAGTTTTGTTTTTACGAGTTGATCACGGATTGATATCAGTTAGAGAACCTCTGATTTCCGATTGAACAATAAGGCTTCACGCTTCAGCTTTGAAAGAAGTTTCAGTAGCAGTAGTCCCATTCCTATGGGATGAGGTCACTAGCTTCATCTCTAACGTCTCCTGATTACCAGGAGAAGTCCGTCGGCCGGGGATCGAACCCCAGATGACGTACATTGGTTGGCGAGTATTGAACCACTGAGTCACTAATGCATGTTAGGAACATTAAAGTGAAAGATATATTCAGTCGAAGAGATACTTCCTTATTGGATACAGATTCTTATAGTTTCAGTAGAAAAGACTTATCAGAAATAATGCAAAATGTCGTCAAGTCTCTGCAGTAAGAGCTTATACTTCGAGAATGAATTAAAGTTACTATAAAACTGGTTATTTTTTCCACATATATCTCTTCAAAATAATATTCATACCTCTTCGTTCTTCGTCTTTTTTATCTAAATTTAAAGAGAGCTCGTTTATTACACCAGTTGAACCAACGGATTAGAAGGAAAACTGACAGAAAATTGTTGGGATAAAAATGAAACATCAGTAGGAGAATCCTAAATGAATACGATCCTCATTCCGGGAAAATGTTTTGCGAGAGAAATAATGAAGAAAAACAGAAAAGAAAATGGGAGACAAGCTGCAGTGTATCACATCGAAATGCGTAATACTTGATGTTCACTGTCTCATCATCCAATAATGGCAAAAATCTTCAAATTGTTCATAATCATATGTTTCTGTGTCTTTATTTGTGTGTGTGTGTGTGTGTCTTTAGCAGAGTTTAAAGTTGAAGAGATTAACTTGATCTGATAGGAATAAAAAAAAAATTAGCACATTCAATTTTCTACGCATCCAAGTTGTTCCCCAATTTAAACATGAACAGAAAACTGAGTCACGCATGATAAACACACACATACGTACATAAACACATAGGAGACATAAATCCTGTTGGATAGGAGAAATTATGACATGTCCGTACTCTATGTAATGAATATATATATATATATATATATATATATAATTGCAAGCTGTAGCACACTTAAGTAGAAATAACTAAATTAACATAACAGAAACAATTGAGATCTTATCCTGGCGTTATGAGACTTATATATCTTATCCATATGTGTGATGTTAAACAATCCTGATTCTTTAAAGCATTAGTCACTATGTGAAATGCATAATCCATTCAACAATTTGTACTTAAACCAACAAAGATAGATCTGCAGTGAAACACTGTATAAGATAAAAAATAATAATCATAAATAATAACACGTTTTTATCTAAGATATTAAGTGATACAATCATTGAAAGTGACAATGAATGAAACATCATTTACAGCAGCAGCAACAGCATCAAGAACAATATCTACACAATTAACAAATGGAAATGCATCACACAGTCTACTATCACAAGGGTATACAGAATTGCTTAATCTGTAAGTTCATCATATTTATACATGTTCATTAATTTTTCTATTTAATTTTAATGTGCAATATTAACTATGATTGGCAATATGATGGTTACTGACTTGGGCATAATAATATTTGAAGGGCGTAATAAGAACAGTCTTTTTGTTTCTTCTATGAAATAAAACGAATCCAACTCATCCTGGAAAAGTTGTTCTTATTGCGTTACTCAAACACATAAGAGGAGTAATAGTAGAATTACGCAAAGTCAAAGTTTTCAATTGTGCGTCGGTGGCATAGCGGTTAGGACGCTCCCTGACCATGCACATGGTCCGGCCACCGACGCACTCCTTTACCTCGTTAAGCCAGAAATAATGCTGGTGAAGAGGAAAGGTTGGGCATGAGGCTAGCAACCCCATCCTGTAAAAATAAACACTGCTACAGAAACTTCAAGCCTCTAGCTTGAAGCTCTATGTTCCACTGGGAACGTGAAGGAATAAAAAAAAGGTTTTCAATTGAATCATATACTGAAACTGCCATTCTTTCTATTTAAGCAAAACTATTACAATAGGTGAACAATGACCATAAAAACTGATACATGATATGTAATCACCCATTCTCGTTATTTTGTAGAAAGCCACCAAACGGTTGAATAATTTTTATGCAGATTACAGACAAAGTTAGAATATTAGTTGGGTCATTGAATTTCAGCACAAGTTTTTGAATAGTCAACGAGCTTGATCTCATAGTCTGAAGATACCAAGTTCGATCCCTGGTGAAGTCGTGAGTGAGCAATGCTGGAGAGTCCCAAAATGGGACGAAACAGCTGCCCAGTGTGCTGCTCCCTGGTTTTCGATGATCTTCACAAAACTCACATACAAATAAGCAAAAGATTAGTGAGATGAGTTAACTAGGAATTCAAGATACTACCACAGAGTCACAAATATCACCATAGTGCTCTTTAAAATCTACTGTTTATTCTCATGTGTTGACAAGTCTATGTGTAATTAGCATATGCACATAATAAGCTCAAATCTTGATAGTATTTCGAGCAAAATTACTTCCAATGATTATACTAATTGTTAGAATATTTTTTTTCACGTCATATTCATACACCTGAATATTCCCGCCTTACAGTATCTTATGTCAGAAGAATATAACAAGACCATGCATGAAAGGTATCTTTTATTAAGAGCCACGTATAGTATATAAAATCCCAGCAAGTTCCTGACTAAAGCTAATCTTTGTAAAAACATAACATTCAAGTATGAAGATAACATCTAGATTTCTTCTAAACAAAAAAAGCAAACAAATAATGTATATTTGAAACAAATGTGCTCGTATACTTTAAAAAAATTGAATTAATGATTGCAGTTTTATATATACATTTATATATATATATATATTTAAGGTTATGACTTTAGGGACACATAAAACAGCAATTATCGATAAGATCAATTCACCCTTTATATATACATATATACATATATATATATATATATATATACATTACTACTTCAGTTCATTGACATAAAACTTGGGATCTTCAAATACTGCCATAAAATGCTATGCTTATGGTTATTGGCTGGCTGATCTCAGGAATATTGTATTCCCTATCTTGCAGACTAACTAAGATGGAAGGGACACTGAGGCTGAAGCCCACAGGGTAGAAAGAATAAATGAACACAATTAGACAACAACAAGAACTGCATTGTATTAAAAGCCTGTAGTTTAAAAATAAGATCAGTAATCGCAACAGTCACGTTGTTAATCACGAAGCTGCAATGGTAAGGCCACTTAGGTTAATAAAAAATAAAGAAACGGCGGATTATTACATACACACAATATCCGATTTTAAGAGAAGTGGGAAGATAAATCTTTCATTCTCTTAGAAATATATTTTAAAAAACCGTAAGTATTCTTAGGACATTGTAATAACAGTGCACACGCTGTGTTAAACCGCCTGAAATAGTATTTAACAATACTACACAGACAAATCTTGATATATTGAATAATAAAATGAAACATTTAGCCTTACATGTTACCTGATGGCATAACAATAGTATTTTAGACTCATCATCTGGATGGAAAATATTTTACTTTAAAAAATGCTTTATGCACAATGAGTTTATTCATACATCTGCTGTTGAAGACTTGCTGTTCCTATGTTCCACTCAGAACCCAAAGGAACAATAATAATATTTTATTCATCCACCAGTGATAGAGATCAGGGAAATCGCATTTAACTTAGAGAAGCATTGTCAGCTACATTAATAAAAGCATCTGAATATCCACAGGTATAAATTAAGGAGTCTACACTTCCACTTGTGGGTTATGGATTATTGTGCTATACTTTGGTTTGTGATCTAATCTTGTTCCAACCAATGTCAAAGGAACTGGTGGGTCGGAATGTGATTAGTGCTAGCCACCTCTTTGTTTTATTTTCCTCCATGACACAACGCACTACACCCTAAGACAATGTCGATTACCATACGGTGTCAACTTATGCAAATGACGCTATGAAGATATCTATAGTCTTTCTATATTTTCTGCTTTCAGTAAGTACATCTTACAGTCATACGGTAGAGTAAAGAGAAGTGTTGCATAATACAACCGGTGTTTTTTTAGATTAATGGCGCCATTATTGATGCAAATGGATCTCTTGTATTGACGCTGACATTTTATGAGTAGGTAGATTAGGTCGGGTAGATTATTTAAAACAGTGAATGCATTTGACATCGGTACCGAGTATTTGATGATGCTTATTTAAAACATTCACCACTCTCCATTGATATATGCAGTTTGTAAATAATTCCCATTAACAGACATCGTGAAGTAGAAAATTTATGTCAAATAACTTTGTTCGACTTATCCTATAATCTTAACACCATAAACAGTAAAGGAATACACGGTTCAGCCCCTTCTAAAGTATAGTGATGCATACATCAACACATAATCATGGGTCATGTAGGCATTAAATCTACGCACGCCTGAAATAAATTTTGGTCACAAAATGTTACCTTGTCTTTAAAAAAAAAAACATACCCACATCGTTAAATTAAATTTTGTGGTAAACAAAGCGGAAATCATTTGAAAGTTTGCCTCAAAAACCACTATGCTTAACTCATTCAGGTCATACATAATTCGTATTGTCTGATTGCCTACAGAGTGATGAGAAATAATCTGATCAATATCCATTTTCTACACAGCTACTTTTATAAATGCATATTCACTCATTGGTATTATTTCCGGGATGTTTACTAGTTGCCATACCTTCCTCACCTATATTACTTATGATTTTACGCTTAAAATGTCACATTTTTCAGAAAGAAAAAAAAATTTATGGTGTTAAATATAACTGGGAAATAGTCTTAACAAAAGGAGAGATTCATCAAAGAGGGTTATCGAAAAAAAAAACCTTTCAAACTAATGTCGGTAGGACTTATGTGTGAATGGATGGAACATTCGTTGAACAATGGACAAGTATTAAATACAACCTGTTGTTGATGTGAGTTGTTAAAATACTCACTAGTTGAAAAAGCTGTGAATGTAGTAACTGATTAAATCTCATTACAAAATAAGTTTATGTGAAGTTTCAGCAAGGCGAGAACACAGGGAGAATTATTTTTACTACAAACAAAACTTATGAAAATTGTGGTTAATCCATTTCCGGTTGATTTCAACAAACACCTGCGGCATACCTCATGAATATCGGTGTATAATCTAAAGAGGAAATCACGTTCTATGCATATCATTAGGTCATGAACAATGAAGGGTAAAGCAAATAGACGATTAGTAAAGTTAAATATGTTAAATAAATACATAAATAAACCTGAAACACAATACATAAAAAAAACACTTCAATGTGTATTCATTTCACTGCACCACAGAGAAAAAACATCAAAGTAGTTTAATTATAAGCGAAAGCCTTCATTGTACTGCAAAGCCGTCAGGGATTATCTGTAATACGTGGATAAGACACGGTCACTTCAAAGAAAAGAGGGAAACACAAAAAGAAAAGGGGGAAACACAAACATCATTTAGAGTTTCAGTGTCGTAGTGCACAAAAACCGATACCAGCCTGTAATTAAATGTGATGCAATCGGTTCCAACATTAATCAATGTCACCAATATATATATATATATATCTTTATATTAGTTGTATGTATACAGGGGTAATTCACTTTGTATTACATCCAATGAAAAGGTTAATAGGAGAAAATTAGGGAATTGAGTGTTAGCATTTACTTTCATTGTTTGCACAGAGACAAAAATAAGACGTCATTTAGAATAAACAGTTGAGCTGAAATTATTTTTTTTTTAAATAGGAACCACTGGCAAAACCAAGTAACCTTTATATTAGATGGCTGCTACTACTACCACTACTACTACAAACTTTCGGAACGTTAATATTAATTAATGATGATGTTGAACCAAATAACCTTTCACTGTTAAATATCAAACTGTTGGTGTAAGATATTTCGAATAACAAGTAGTTCAGCTGATAGATAGATTGCCACCATCTACCTGCGGTGTAATTTCACATATCCAAACACCACAACTCTTCACTGAAATTAGACTGTCAGTGATACTTACTCTATATACTAAAGTAAAAGTTTCGAGAACTTCAAGTAGAGACTAAGTACTAATGAAAGTGTGTGCGTCAGTGGTACAGCAGTAGACTGCTCTCGCCAACCATGCCGCAGGTGGGGTCTGGGGTTCGATGCCCAGCCTATCTAACCCGATAGTAAGATCGGTAATTTGAAAAGGTTGGGCATGTAGCCAGTATCCCTATCCTGTAAAATAAAAACACCACTTCTACCGAAACTTCAAAGGAATAAAAAATCTAATAGAAGTATAAATACATCCTAGTATGGGTGTAATTATTATTCGCTTGAGTTCCGAGGGGAACATAGGGCTTCAAGAGCACACATCTATTTCATACTGTTCTTTACAGTATTATTTTTAGCTGAATCCACAACTACTCATCTAGTCTTCACACGGTCTTCCCTATGCTACACTCACGAAG